CACGTTTAGTTTATTTCTATAAACTTTACCATGGTTGCAGTGCTCTTTCTCATAGCAGTCTTACTAGTCGTCTATCCACCCGTCAAACTGAGAGAAACTCACATAACAAACGGGTCCAGCGCAAGAACTTCACCTTAAAATCTGCTTCCGGTTCTTTTGTGCCGAAAACTATAGAGGACTGGAACAAATTACCTTGTACTGTTGTTCATCAGAATACGCTAAGAGCATTTTTAACTGTATTAAAACAACGTCTTTTTACTGTCTAAATGTTTGCTATGTGTGTGTGCGTGTGTGAGATTTTATTCGATCTGGTGTTACATTCAAACAAGCTCTAGCTTTCTTGTAATCTCTTTGTGTTCCTTACAAAAATAAATTCATTTATTCATTCATCCTAAAAACCAGCTTTTAGGGTATAAAACTGTTACTCCCTTTTCTTCGAAGATAGTGAGGGAGTTCCACAAAAGTCCCGAGTACGAGTATGAGTACTAGGAATTTTGTACTCGAGTACGAGTGTACACTCGTACTCGCCCATCTCTGAAATACGAAGCTTTGAGCTATATTGTATTGCTATATTGTATCTCACTAAGGCAACTACTGTAGGCCGCTAAGAATATGATAAGCACTAAAAGTAAGTTAAACTTTTAAAGAGGCTTTTACATATAGATCGTTTTAGATTTAAATGACCTTATAGAACCAATAGGAAGAGAGAGAATGACAAGAAGTGGGCAAATCTGAACACAGTAAAAGGGAATCAGATATGTTTTTATACTTTGATACGTTTGTACTTAGCGTATGATTCCGAAACAGATAAAAAAACGCTATCGACTATCGATCCTAGATTTTCTTGAAAAAACACATTTCAACATAAAACCTGTCTTTTTTTCCTATGGACAGCGATCATCATACCACTCACTATATCTTTGAGAGATATCAATCACTTTCATGAGATAGCTTCTGTCCTGCGTCTCAACTAGAACCTATCCACTAGCACTATGAATTTCTTATATTCATGGTGAACAAAATGAATTTATTAACTACTCATCTTTTACGTTAATAGCGAAAAAAATCAATCAATCGCACATATATAAATGAAACCGTCATTCTATCGGTTTCTCGATGGAGGGCTGATGAGAGCTCGACAGTGACGATCGATGTACACAAAATACATGTCTCAATTTGATTCATTATAAAACAAGACATTTATACGAAAAACAAAAAAATTCAAACGAGATCCAAAATAATTTACAAACAAATTGCATCAAACATTTTTCAGTTCACTTTTCATTCCTTTTATGTTTATGTTTTTTAGCCTAAAATTAAAGAAATATAATTACACGTTAGTGGTAGTGATGATAAAATTGACAGGAATAGTCAACTTACTTTTTTATGTTTCTTCTTTTTTTTATGCCTTTTTTCTTCAAATTTCGCACTTGCATTTAACAATTTTGTCAAAACTAAAAATATTTCACTGTTAGACTCTTACCACAAATAAGATCTGTAACTTACTCAATTCGTTATTATCTAGTTTCGTCAGAGGAATAGTGTTTTCACCCTGTTTTGTGGATGTTTGTGAAGGCAAGACGGGTCCATAATACGTTGAGATTGAGGGATCTTGTTCTAAATAAAAAGAAGTAAAATAAAACTGTCATTCTTAAAAAAATTAGTCGTACTTGATGTTGTCACTTCGATAATATCTGAATCATCTGACGAACTACTTTCGAATTGATTATCCGTCTGTTTTGCACTATCGAATGAAATTGAACTAGTGGTAATAGGTAATGGTATTGGAATTGATTCATCGTTCTTCTCTTCTTCCTCCGTATCTTCTTGTTCAATATCATCGTCAGTACCAAATACAGCTTTAAAAAAGTCTAGTGGTGGACGCTCTTGTTTTTCCTAAGGAAGATAATAGTACTATAATATGAAAAAAACGAGAAAATAGTGAAATTACCTGGCCAAATGGTTCAATTGGTGCAAATGGCAACGGTGGTGGTCCTGTTGATTTTGGCGGTATTGCTTCTTGTGTATAAGATGTTGGCAACGGTTGTTCATTGAGCTGTGCTTGTTCAGTTGGATTTGAACTCGGTTCAAATAAATGTTCAAATAAATTGGAACACAACTGACGCCTTGCTTTTTTTGAAACGGTTGATTCGTCATACGATGAACTAAGAATAGAAACAAACTAGGTCATCTCACGTATATCTCCTTTAATCTTACTGACTCTGGATATGGATTTGGAATATTCCATCGTTTACAAACTAATGGATTCGGTTTCCAGTCGATACATGAACGCGTCAAATCACCGTATAGTTTCAATGATGATGCCTTCTTTAAATCAGCCTAAAAAGACAAAAAATTGTCACTAAAGAAAAACTTGAAAAATATCTCAAGTATAGTATACCTCCATGGCTGCATTGCTCGACTGTTCTTTTGTAAAATGTTCTTGTGTCGATGATGATGTAAAACGATCTTTAACGGCATTCAAAAAATTTGATTTTGCACTAGTTTCTTGTTCTTTATTATTTACTGAACGATCCTTTTCAACATCCCATTCTAATGGTGCAGCACTAGTAGGCTTTGATGGCACTACTGGAGGTGGTTGTGAGAGAAACGATAAATCACCCAGTAATAATCCACGAACATGTGGATCAAGTTTATTAGGGGTAGGAGTAGACTGTTCTGATATTGATAATGATTTAAAACGATGTACTGGATTGAAATCTTTTGGTAATTCGGGTGGTGAATATACAATAGGTTTTAAAGGAGTCTGATAACGAATAAACTTTAATGTAAAATTATTTTTTTCCGTTGTTTTACGTAGAATATCGTCAGATGAATTCAACGATGTTAGTTCATAGTCGTACTGTTTTAAATCATCTTGAGCATACAAATCTTTGTCATCTTCGTCTTCTTCAGTTCCAACACCAAATGCCTTGCAAAAAAAAGAAAGAACACGTCATTTTCTCTTTTATGGCAAACGTACGATAGACTTTACCTGTCCTCTTATTTTAACATTAGTAATTTGTTTTTCAACTGATGGCTGTACAAATAAATTATCATGTCCAAATAGATTCAATGATTCCAGTGGTTTATACCCAATACCATGATGTTCATTTTTCTGTGCTGGTTGAAAATGAATTTCGTAGTCCAATGGCGGCAGTGGAATATTTGCATACTAAAACGAAAATATAATATAAATAACAAGTTTAATCATCTCCTTTTCTGACTTACACTGTCATTTTCTTCATCCTCTTCGTCGTTCTCCTCTCCAAAAAACGAAAGTGTTGGCGGTAGTGCAACGCCATAAATCTTGACACCATTCATTGGATTTTGTTGTTGTATTAATGATGTTTTTAATTTTCGACGATGTTTTCGTTTCATATGAGCGCCAACGCCCTGTCCTGGTTTCCAACCCATAGTCATCAAAATTTTCTTTCCAATCGATGCACTGAAAATAAATATATCCGAAATGAATTATTTTATACTCTATTCGATTACATACGTTTTAATTTTAATCATATCACGTAGAATATCATTATTTGTTGATACTGAAGTTTTAGTAGGACCTGCTGACGATGAGCTATTCTGTTCGAATGTATTTCGAACTTTAATTTGTTTTGGATTGATTCCATGTTCACCAAAATCCTAAAAGTAGATAAGATTTTCAAATACAAATTAAAAAAAGGTTATAAAAAAAAGCATACGCCTTCGTCCATAAAATGCTCCGGATCAAATGAACGCTTCTCGGCACGACTTGTTCTTGATGATACAAATTCACTTGGCCGCCATCCTTTGAAGGCAATAAACAATAAATAGAAGGTTAATCATGATTTATGTCAATTACCTTCGACAGATCCAACAGAATTATAAAAACCAGCTGAAAATCCACCCGTAAATGCTCCATGAAAACGTTTTCCATCGTAACCCATTGTCGATGCACTCAGATCGACTAATCTTGATGCTTTCCGTCCTAAAATAAGCATTTTATATATAAACAGAAGCATGATAAATCAAAAGTTAATTGAACTAGACCTAATGTTGCTACAATCGATGTACTAGTTGCCGGTGCTGTGGGATCAAATGGTGTACCAATTTTAACAAAATCATCGTCCTTATCATCTTCTTCACCACCACCAGTGCCAAAGCCTGGTCTTCTCATAGACGACATATTATCTGAAAATAAAATAGACCATGGACCGCAGAAAATCTTTTCGAATAAGAAGCATTAAGAAAACTGATATAATTAGCAAATAAATGGCACGTAATGGTTAAAGAATGAATTTCATTTTCTATAGAAAGTACTCTAATGTTAAAATATTTTTATTTAAAAATAAACACAAAAAATAATGAATATTATAGAAAACAAAATTTTATCATACAGTAATGAAACAATAAAGTTCATTTCCTAAAAAAGACGGGATATGTTATAATTTATTGTCAATGTTCAATAAATAAAACATATTGATGTCATAATGGCGGTGATCTATGTCAATGTGTTAAAGTATAACACGAATAGCCAAAAATATCTGACAGTAATCGATGATACTGCTGATGATGTTATATAATTTAATAGACGTATCACAATAAAACACCTTACATCTGTCTCACTTACCTCGCTAACGTACAAATGATCAATCAACAGTTTGTTTTCTAAAAACTTTGAATGCTTTGGAAAAAATTGCAAGTATTAGTAAATTTTTTATTAGTAAGTTTGTTTATACAAAGAAATAAACAGCATAACTGTTTATTTGAACAAAAACATTGCTAAAAAAAAGAAGAATAAAAAAATTAACACATACACATATTTGTCATTCACTTACTTTCAATTCTTTACTTCTCAATTATACTTCAGTTCACAATCATAGTTGATTAATGCATAAACAAGATTTGGATCATATTGTCTACTTTCTACTAACACATCTGGAATGAACGATACATTTCATTATCGATAAACGAATCTGCTTACAACTTATCATCCCAAGCGACAAAAGAAAAATCTAGTATTGCCCAATTCATCTAGATTACTAGATTTTTACTCGATTGCAACTATTTTGTAACGACAGTGGAAATCTAGTAATCGGGTGATTACTAGATTTCTCCTAGTTGTAACTATCAATTTATCGACCGATAATCGATCAATTTAACTATCGCTAGTTGCACATGCAGACGCATCTAGTTAAAAGTCACTTTTCCAGCTAGTAATCTAGATGACAGCTAGTCGTGTATCGCCCGACTGCACACGAAATGTATCTAGATTTTTCTCATAGGTAATGTTTCCTTCGGATTACTAATTACTTGTTACTGTAGCTGTTTGAGACTATTGTCTTCAAGTAGCAGAAAAATGAAAGTAAAATGGTAGGAATCAAAATCTAAATATTTGTATCGTAGTTTGAGTATCTCTGTTATTTAATTCTAATATTGCTTTGATCACAGGACGCCCTTTAACAATTTAATATAAATTCAATAATATATTGAAAATTGTAACGAAAAACGATAGTAATTGAATAGAATGTAACAAAACAGCAATCAAACACATACATTCCTTTTGATGTTCTGCTAGATAATTTGTACATAGTTTTATTATTAGTTTTGCTAATTAAATAAATGAACGATGAAACACTAACTTGAAACTTTTCTTGTTTTATCAGCCAATATCAAATTTATGATTAATGTTTGAATAATAGACGAATATAATCTCTACAAATAAACAAAGCATCTTACTACAAATACATACTTTTTACAGAATTTTTAGACTCCATTTTTCCAATTAGAATAAAAATAATCTGGAATAAAATGAAAAATGAGTAGTTTTTTTTGTTGAACGTAAGAATATTCGTAACCTGTATGACTCCGAATTATCCAAGATGACCCAGTATTCTGCAATACTAATGTACTTCACATTTTTTTCCCCCGTCGAAATTCATCGTCTTATCATAGCATCGAACAAAAGAAACAACTCGTTTCCATATGAAAATTAGCAACAATTTTTTTTTCAAATTACGATAATTCAACAAGTCCGATAGCGAATCACACTGTTTACATTCTATACTGTAACTATCACCATTCATCTTCAATATACGTCTTTGTTGGTGTATTTTATCGTATAAATCTTATAGTATGAGATTTTCTTTACTCTTAAACATGTATGTCCTTGAAGAGGACAGATAAACCACACATTCGCCACCAAAGTGTTCAAATATATAATTATTTTGGTATGACCAAACAAACATATTTTAGATTCTCAAGACTGATGCTAATATATCGTAGCTAAGTAGTAGATACGAACAAATTGAAATGCAGCAATGAAAAATAATTGTTCATTCCACTAAATTTGAAAAATCTTGTAGGAAACGATCACCATAAAGTGTTAATGTAGGTGAATGATAGTTTCGATTGAAAACAACTAATCGTTTGTCATTTGATAAAATCTATAAAACACTCACAAATAGCTTATTTCAATTATAATAGACGTTTACATTTTTCCATTAATTTCCAGGCTTTTTATCTGTTTGCATTAAAATATTTGTTTCGTACAAAGAACAAAAAGAAAAAGCACAAAAACAAACAGAATAATAATAATAACAACAACAACAACAAGAAAAAAGAGAAGAACGCACACGCGTTATATTGTCTGACATTTCTTGTTTAGTTTCTTTTTTTTAAAAAAGCAGGCATGCAGCTCAAAACATACACAGAGCAACAAAGTTAAATCGTTTCGTGCGCAAAATAGAATTGAACATATCAATAGAGAAAGATATATATAGAAACATACAAATGAGTGATAAAAAGAAGAGCGTTGTCTCAATAAATAACAAAAAACCAACAACAACAACACAAAGAAAGTTCGTTCTACTACTATTTGTATTCAAACTAAACGGTTGGGGAAATTATTGGTGATTGTTTTACGACAGATAATTGTGCAAGAAATGTTTCTAACACTTGTAATGCATCTGTAATCGCTTTTCGTTTTAAATCGGTATTTTCTATTATTGATGATGAATTATTGATTGGTTTAAATAAACATTCTATTACTGATGTTGTACCATCGGCATTATCATCTAAGCGACGCTTTTTTATTGGTGTACTGATGTTATCATCGTCATTACTTGTTGATCCAGTGTCTTGTACATCATTTTCACTGGTAATGCCATCATCATTGATTATTGATGATGCTAGTTTTTGTTTAATAGAATGAATGTTTTCTTCAATTATTTCTTTAATTTTATCATTTGAAAAATTACAATGTAAACATAATTCAAGCGCTTTTATATCACCAATTATTTGTTTATGAGAATAATCGATTAATGTAAAATGCTGCACAAAATCTAAAATAATTGAAAAAAAAAATTAATTATTTCACAGTGAGAAAAAAAGACGGTGAGCATCTGTTTAATGAAAAAAAATCGAATAGTTCACTCTATTCCATATATTTTAGTTAAATCATTTCTTACAAACGTATCATTTTTGGCTACTATTCTTCTTAGTTAAAACGATTGGGAACATCAAACATTCAAAACGAATCAATCATAATAGATACTCTAATATTCAGAAGAATAAGAGTAAAATGTATTGATTTATCACTTTTAACAACAATCAATCACTCGGATGACAAAGCTTACGAGTACAAATTACGAATTATGGATTGTGCTCGTAAGAGGGAGAAAAAAAATGTGTGCTGTAATCTTACCTAAATTTGTTTGTATTTCATTTGTAATTGATTGTAAACAAATATCAATTGTTTTTGTTAATAATTGTTGTAAACGTTGAACAAATAGTGATATTTGTTCGTCACCGGATGTGTTGGTAGACGTATTAGTAGTCGTTGTTGACGTTAATATTAAAGGTAAATAAATGACTAAAAAACGATAGATTTCATTTTGAAATAGAGAGATACGTTCATCTATGAGAACAATTTCGATATAACGATGAAAATAATAGGATGATGATGTTTGTAATATTTCTTGAATAATAAGACGTGCCGATGTTTTTGTTGATTCATATATTTCTAAAAATAATATAGGAAAAAATGTAAAATGCATATAGGCACCTTCACATGCCACTAATGTTAATAGATTCATAATTGAACCATTCAATGCATCTTGATTATAGGCTAAACGTGCAATATTATCAATTAAATTATGATACGGAGAATAGTACGAATGAACACTACGATCAAAATCTAGAATAATAGAAGAAAAACAACAACAATACTATATTTCAAATGAATATGAGAAAAATCATACCTAAATCTCTTCCTTTCGATGTTTCTAATAATTGAGTTTTGAAATATATGCCAAAATGAGGTCGAAATATTTGACGTTGCTGTGGCAATGTCTGCTGTTTGATATTTCTTCGTGGAAAATAGGGTCCCAATTGTTGTTGATGTTGTATACTTGATTGTTCATGAATAACTTTAATATGAGTACAAATCATTGTTAAATCTTGAATATTTAATGTAACAATTAGTTTTTTAATAACATCAAATGCTTTTTGTCTTAAATCAGTCGTATTAAATGAATTTAATAATTGTAATAATTTTGTTAATAAATCCATTTTTTCTTTCCATTGTTCAAGAGCCTCTTTCAATGAACGTATGTACGTTGTTTGTTGTTTTTGATCAGTATAATATTTACAAGTGTCTAATAAATGACAAAATAATATTAATAATTGAATTAAATCAGTTTGAAATGATAAATGTTGAGTTAATGGTGAACATTGTTCATGATAATATTGATATAAAATAGAAAATATTGATGATAATGTTGAAAGACCACGTCGAATAATTATTTGATAATATTCTTCGTGTGATGTTGTTTCAAGACAAATATCTTTAAGTAGATCAAGTATTGTTGACCAACATATACGAACTTCAAATTGACGAAATAATAATTGATATAATTCTTTTTTAAATTCAAATACAACACGTTCATCAACATTATCGATCGATTGAAGAGTATTAACGGTTAAAGATGAATCTAAAATTAAAATAAATTAAATATGAAGAGTTTTTTTAATAGATAATTTTTAAAAAAAACAAAAAATTATCCATCTTAAATCATCTTTTTCTTTTCTAAAGTAAAAATCAAATATTTACCTAATTTTATTTGTGATTGATTTTTACATATCAATTTAACAATGTTGACTAATTCCTCACAGGCATTTTGATATAAATGAACATTCGGTAAAACATTTCGAAGCGCCCACATTAAATTTTTATGTTGTGCTAAATATTTTGTATACTCTCTTGATGTTTGACAAAATTCTCGAAGAAGAGAATAATAAATATATAAAAATAGACGATTATATACTACTAATTCTTGATCTTCATGATCAACAACAATTAAATATTGTGGTAATTGTTGTTTAAATTCAGGATGGGTATTTAATATTGTTGTTATAATAAGAGTATTATTATCTGACGATGTGCATAATTGATGAAGTAAAATAAATAAAATTAATTTATTTGAATTATTTATATTGTGATCTTCAGTGAGTTTTGATGATAAAATTAATGTACACAATGGATGTATATAATCTTTTGTTAATAATTTTTCATTTGGATAACGAGTAAAATGAATAAGACAAGAAATATATTGTGTAAGACGTTGCTGACTATCGAAAATATGATGATGATCTATAAACAAAAGCAAAAAAAGAAAAATTCTAAAATAGTAAATTTCAATGGTATAAGATAACATTTACCATGTAGTTGTTCCTGATTAATATCATCAATTAAATCCAATAGATAAAGTTCTAGTTGTTTAATAATATCGTGTGTTTCTTGAGTAAAATCACCTGGATATTGTTGATATTGTTGTGAATCAAATAGATGTGTTAATGATGTATTTGAAATTGTTGTCGTAGTAGATGTTGTTTGAATATTTAATAATGACGTAATTGCACCAGAATTACTACCTGTTGATGTTATTGTTGTTGGTGGTGATTGTTGACGAGATAAAGTTTGATAATATTTAGCGGGACGATATGTTTGACGAAATGTTTGTGATGGTACGAGTGTAATTAATAATTGAGCAATTAATGTTCGAGTTCGTGTTTGATGACAATATAATAGATATGGTTTTAACCATGGACGAATATTATTTAACACCCATTGTTGAATAAACGACGATTTTGGTATTACTGTATTCAGCCAATCAAATACTTGTACGGCACATATTTCAATTAATTTATTTGTATGATGAACAATTAATGTAGAAAAATCTGTCCATGATAAATCTGGAAGTACTAGAGGCTGAGATTGAGATTGATCATCGCTAAAATAAACAAAAAAGAAGTAGAAATTTTACGAGGAAACAGTTCTCATTAAAAGTAGTTTGATATCCTACTGTTGTGTACAAATAATAGTTATAAAAAATTTTCTACTTTACTTGAACAATAGCTTCAGTTAGAACTACTATAACAAAAACTTTTTTGAAAAAGACTCTAGTTAAAGAATATTGACTCTATGAGTTGCAAAATATGGAACTGAATGGAAAAAATTGTGTAGCAGATATACGCAGAAGATGCAGGACGAAATACAAAACTACAGAGTACATTAAGACTGAATTTAGGTCTAATTTTTAGTTCTAACGTATGTTAATCGGAACTTACGAGGCAACCTTTCCAGTTGTCGAACCGCTTTTCTAACGAAATGCGGTAGTTTATAGGTAATCGATCATGCTGATTCCGAATATGATAGCCGTTTTTGCCCATAGGCCTTTCCTAACCGGTTTCTGGAAAACTGGTTTTTCGTTAGAAAAACGGTTGAACACCTGGAAAGGTTCCCTCGTTAGTGCGGTTCATTAGGGAATTACACTCACGTCTTTGATGCACTAGCTACCCCTCTGTCTATGACATTCGTAAAAAGAGCATAGTGCATAAAGTTATCTGATCTCTCGCTATGTGTGTTGTCTAAGAATAGTAAATGATCACTAAAACTCTAAATTAATTGAAGGTTTTCATGGGAATTCAGGCATGTCAAAGACACATCGTCGAGTGTTATCTTAAGAAGAACAAAATGTTCTTTCTGCATTTTATTAAAGTAAACAGCTCTTCTATGATAAGTTACTAACCATTCTGATTTGGTATTATTTGATGTATCATTTGTCGTCGTTGTCGTTGTTGTGGTAGGTGGATGTTGTTCAATAAGATAGGTAAATATTTTGAAAAATGCTTGTAAATGATTTGTATCTTGTTGATATTTCTGTATCCATGTACATAGTAGATTACATAGTTTATTTGCTAACACTTGTTTATTATAACATATTAATTGAATTATCGACGCTGTTGATTTCAGATTAATGTTATCAAGAATTTGCTGCTGAATAAATTGAAAATCTACATCGGTACCAGTCAACGCTAATATATCAGCTTCATTTAATTCATAACTTTGTAATTGTTGTTGAGATAAAGAAGATGGACTCGACGATGATGTTGGTTGTGTTCTTAAACGTGCTGCTTCTAACAGTAGAACAATTAATGGAAACATTTTTTCAAATATAGCTGGACGATTTAAACGTGTGGTTGGATGTTCATTCAATGGTATAACATCATCATCGATACAACAATTTGATGTATTATTGTTTGTTTGTGATATTGTCGGGTTTTGTTCATCTTCCGAATTACTTTGATCATCATTTCCGACCAAATTTTGTTGTGAGGATTTTTGTTGTCGACGATGTAACATATAAAACGTAACTAGTTGCTTAATACATAGACAGTCTAATAATAAATAACACTCATCACAACCATTGTGGGCAAAATCGTGTAAAAATGCAAAATATTCACACATATAACGAATTGGTAAACGAATACCGTCTGATAAAATAGATAAATATTTTCGAAGAAATTTTTGAACAACAATGGTTGAACTATCAGCAGAACGATCACTAAAATAACAAAAAAACAAAATATTTAATTGTTGAACGATAGGTCAATAATCTCAAAGTCGCTTTAATGAAATTCCACAAGCAATAAAAATCATCTGAATCAGACTTCATCACATGCTAAATACTTCTCTTCTTTCCCAGTCAACTTAGAGTTATTTGATCTGTTATTATTACTTTTGTGAATCGGATGATGGTCTTAATTTATGTAATACATCTAACAACACTCGCTCAAACATTTGCCGAATAGTATGGTTTGGACATTTGACAAGTACTTTAATTAGCCATGTATCATCATTGGTCATATGTGATAGAAACCAGACGGCAGCTGGTTTTGATGCTGTAAATTGTTTTGATAAATATTCAACCCAATTAAGCATCGTCGGTTTTTCTTTTGCATGTATATAAGTTTCAAAAACGAATGTAATGGCTAATTGAATGGGTAAAAGAGAAAAAGATGATTGATCTTGTTCTTTGATAATTGTGTTCATAGCTTGATGACATATGCGCCACATAAAAGTAAAATAATGATGATCAAATAGATGACGATCACGAACAAAACGTCGATTATCTTCCCAAATCCACTCGACAATATCAGCTGGTATCGAATACGTTTGATTATCTTTCAATAGTAAGGTTGATATTGTTAGTGAAGAATTTGTTGTATCAATTTGCTGTACTTGTCTAAATAGAAAGTTACAGCAAGAACAATTTACAAGCAGCAAAATACAGTGTAAAAAGCAATCTTTAGCATACAACGTTCTCGTTTCCACTTTTATGGATGAAATTTTAGAAAAATTTTCAGAAAAAACAAAGGGTGCCGAATGAATTTTGTGATTTTCATCTAATATTGTAAACTTACAACTGTTGTCCATGTGCAATTGAATCAACTTGCATTGTTGATGGTACATGATCAACTCTCTCATAAAATAACATATAAGCACTATGTGTCTTTTCAAATTGAAAATCAAGAAATCGATCTTGGGCTTGATCATAACCTTTACTTGTTATTTCACCACCAAAACATTCATTAGCGATTTGATTTGGATCAAATGATTTTACATCAGCATCATTAAATAAATACCAACGTGGTTGAGAATCGTGCTGTTGTTGTGATTGTGATTGTTCATCAGTTACATTATTTGTTGTCGTTGTCTGTCGTTTGACACGATCACGTATAAAACTGTAATAATGACCACCTTCAGCTGTACCCGTATGAACAGTAACACCAATTAATTCAAACAAAGACGATTCTGAACCTTCATTCACAGATTTATTCGTTGTTGTTGTTGTAGACATATTCATACTAAAACAAAAAAGAACATCAGTTGATTACATATGAAAAGTGTTAGTCGTCTCTCTAAGTCAAAGCAATCGACGGTGAAGGAGAATAATTTGTGTGGGTTCGTTTTGAATGGAGAACAAAAACTAGTTATTATACCTTTCATTCTGTATGCTGTCATCGTTGCTACTATTTTCATCATCATCGGCTACTAATTTATTTGGATCAATGAGATTCTTCTCCATATAGCCGCTCATGTCTAATTGCATTGGAAATGAAAAATGTGTATTAACCTTTTCACGTTGCATCGTTACCATATTAAATGTATAACGCATAGTATTTAAACATAAAATTTTTGGTAATTTTCGAAAACATACACGTTTTTCGGCTCGCACCTTTTTGGCACATTTTGAACACGTATACATATTATCACCTTCCAATGTATCTTTTACTGTCATTTCATTCAATGATTCATATAAATCTTTCATATCAGCAACTTGACATCGAACAGTATAAAATTCTTCTAATTTACGTGATAAATGTGGACAATCAAATGACAGAACAATATTTGTTAAAATACCACAAAATAATTCTCTCACTAATGTTTTCAATTCATCTGACATTTCTTCTAACTTTGTTATTAAATCGGTAAAAAATTCTGTCATATCTTTTTGATCACCAGTATTCAATGGTTGATGTGCCATAGTATAAACTTTACAAAAAGTTTTTGGATTATACGATTTTCTTTCACTCTCTAATAAATAGGCAAACATTCGTTTTAATTCATATAATATTTGTTCATGTTTTTTATCACTAGTTGAATTATTATTAGTCGTTTTTAATATGGCTGAACGTAATTCAGGTATCATATATAAATGTTGCATACTTGTAGCCATGTAACATGTGGCACCTAAAATACATAAATAAAAACGTTTATGTAATCGCAAAATTAGAACAATTATTTCAAGAAACTATAGTTTCTATACATTAAATAGTGTTTTTACTTTCAAAAAGATCTTTGTCTAGGAAAAATTTCGTTTAGATTTGAGTTAATCTGATTGAAAAAAAGCTGTGTAAACTTTGTCTCACCTAAATTAGTTAGACCAACGTAGCCACAATAGGCTCGTCCATCATCTCTTGGCCAATATTCCCATTGATATGGTAAATGTTGTGTTTTACAATGATGTTGTTCACATAGTTTTTTTTGTAAAAAAATAAAATTATCTTTATTCAAACGAACTAATTCCACTAATAATTCATAACAAACACGACGTGTTATATGTGATTTACATTTTGGTACATTTCGTTGTTCGTTTGTTGGTAATTCAAACAAATAATTATAAATTTGTTCAACTAACAACAACGTCATTTGATTGTAGTTTGAATTTGGCCATAATGTGGTAAATTTATTTAAATGTGAATTGGTTTGTTTGATAATCGATGATAGTAAACAGAGTAAACCGTACAGAACATCGTCTTCAGCAATTTTTTCACGATAACTTTCATACGGTAAACGTTGATGAATATAGGTCATTAATAATTCTACTAATTGATTAAAATTCACGTCAACATGATGCTCGTCAATGGTGATTTTAACCGATTTGATTTCATCGAAATGCATATGATCAATAATCCATGTTAAGAGCAGAAAATACTCGTGACAAGACTGAAGTACAAGTGGACAATGTTGTGGAAGATCGTGTAAAGTTGTTTTTGTGGTTGATTGAGATGAAACAGGCGACGGTAATTGAGAAATTAATGATGAAAAAGAGATATTCAATGAACTAGACATGGGCACATAGGATATTAAATCATTCAACAAGAATTTTAGCGTGTAGGGTAATAATTCGAGTAATGATGTTAAAATTGGGAGAAGGCAAACACGTTCTGGTGGATTATCGCACGATGGAAGAGAAATTGGAGCAACATATGACGATGCGAGAGTTTTTTCGTCATGCAATGATCGCTGCAATGGTGGTGGAGTATCATTGGAAATAAGAAATGGATTAAGTGGAATTATTTGATTTGAACTATTCGTCGATGCTAAAATAAAAAGAATGAGTTTTCTAGCGTGATGCATGGACAACGGTTCTTACCTTGCAATGTTGGAGCTATGATCAATCGAAATATACATAAAGCTGCCTCACGCCTCAACATCGGTTCATGCGCATCTAATAGTAATGTTTTTAACCATGGTTTTAACTGTTCGTATTTCAAAAATTGACATCGAATACTTTCATAATAATGACATAATGGAATTAACAATGCCATTGACTGATGCAATATTTCTGTTTGATTAGTAAAGAAAAAATACATACACGGACAAATGACACGTGACACAGTGGTTTTATTCACAATTAATAGCTGAAGATCGATTAGACATCGTAATAATAAATCTTTATCGATCATAGATATATTTTCAGAATGAGGTTCACTGATTGGATACTGCTGCTGTTGTTGTTGTTGTAATGATGATGATTGTGGATGATTTTGCTGTTGAGATTGTTCAGTTGTCGAATCTAAACCAAGAGAAAAAGTCAACAATTAACGTTTGACCAAGATATGATCATGTTCTACCTTGCAACGTTAGAGCAGCTACAATTGCCGGTGTACTTCCATTTTCACGACGTAACTTTTTTTTTGATGATTGTTCTCCACATGTTGCTTCAGCCGTTCCGGATGTTGTTAAGATTGTTAGAGATGGCGGCGGAGGAGCTCCCGGTGGTGTAGGTTGTGAAATAGTACGTTGTGGTTTAAATAAGTGCTGAGATAATACGTGAAGTAAACGATATAAGGCCTCTGGTAAACCTTGACACCAGTTATTGTCATTCATGGGTAATAAACATTTTGATATGAGAATTTCATAAAAGTATTTCAAACCACCCTTTTGAACAAATAAATCGCGATACGGTACGTTGGAACCATCACTTGTAATGATTGGATTTTTACGGATTAACATGTCAATTATTTGTAACGAGTATGTTAAACGATACGGATCATTACGATTAAAATACACGGGCCATTGTTCTTTATCAAATAAATGAAGTTGTTCAAATTTTTCAAGTAATCGACTGTTAGTGGGAATCAATAATATTATGTCCCATATACGATGAGCAAGATAACGAGCTTCTGTATGCTAAAAAAGAGATAGAAAAAAAGAAGTAAAAATTGCCATTAAAAAGTAGCAATAAAACGCACGTCTGCTGACGATTCAATGAGAGATTGTAATTGAGCTAATATATGAAAAAATTGATCAAAATAATTATCGCGTAATAATATGATCATTGGCATTTTATGTGGTATAAAATCTCGTAACAAACGCTCCTCAATAATATATGGATCTTTCATACGTATACGTGGTGTGGAAGAAACAATAATCACCTAAAAATAAGAGAAACAAAATGCAGACGCAATAACAAGTGAATCTTTCTTTTCTTTATAATTATTCTTCAGTAACATACTTGATTATCTTTTAAATTACACTCAGCTAATGTTTTTTCATCCATATCTCGATCTAATTCTTGTCCATTAGTGACAATTCGAATGTGTGTATCATATGTCGTTTGCCGCTGGGGTGGTGGTGGTAGAACGTTCGTTGTTCTATCTTCATTTGTCGCTTTCTCAACTGTTGCCAATGTTGTCGTGGTAGTTAAAATTGTTTGTTTTATTGACAAATACCATCGTGTTAATTCTGCTCTTAAATCGCCTAAATATTCTGTAGGAGACATTTTTAAAATAATTTTATCTGGTGCTTGATTTCCAGCCAAAGTGGAATTACATATTAATTTTAAACAATCATTTCGTTGCTGAGCTTGATATTGATGTTCATCAATATATTTCAAATGAGATTTTAACATTTGTTGTTGACAATGAATACTTTTATCAGCAAATGTCAATCCTAAAATAGAAGACAGACAGTCGGACACTGCTAAACAAAGAAATTCTGGCTGCATTCGTTTTCGACTCTTTACCTTGCTGTTGTTGTTGTTGTTCGTTAAATATAAGATACATCCTTATAACAAATGAATAACGTTTCATAAATAAATCTAAATGTGTTCTTAATAAAACTGTTATTCTCGTTATCATTCGTAATTTATTTTCCGATAATGCTTTTTGTGCTGTTTCATCACCATCACATATTTGTTTTAAACATGTCATACATCGATTGATAAATTGTTCTTCACGTTCTAACGTACCATCTTCATTTTGTATTTGATACATATTTAGAAGTTGTGCTGCTAACGTGCTTACATTTTGATCATACGCTTTCATGGCCACATCACTAATATAATTCAATATCACCAATTCGAACATGTGAAATTCATTATACTGTTGTTGAACTTGAAATAATTGTTGCGGTTCATGTTGTTGTTGATGTTGAAAGGATGCACAACAATGAATACGATACTGTTGAAGAATATCTTGAATTAAGGTCAGTTGTTGACAACAAGCATATTCAGGATTCAGTGTGATTAACTAAAAAACAGATAGAAATGTCTCACCATGAGAGAAAACCATATAAATATTTTGGTTGTTTTGTCGCGATGTTCGCGGTAGACAGTTCATTTCTCCTACGTTATCGCTATAACAAGCTAGTTATTAACATATGTTTTTTATCACTGAAACTTTTGATAGAACTTTACCGCAATATCGCTTATTGTATGGAGGAAGACGAATTAGTCGGGATGAAATAGACGATATCGTGATATGGTAAATAAATAGCCTGTTAATGTGATACCACGTCAAAAATGAACTTATGTATAGTTTTTTTATCAAAAATTGTGATGAATGTCGATGTTTTTTTGTATCGAAAAGAGGGTGATGGCACAATAATCGATGTATTTATCGTGATTTATGATAAAAAAACAACATGAGAAAGAGAAAGCGCACATAGATGAAGGTAGTAACCCTTACCTTTTCACTCAAAAGATGTTTGAATGTATCTAATGACAATGCATGACCACCATCTCGGTTTTTTAACTGATTTAATAGCCACGTGTACAAATCTTCTCGACAAGTCGATGATGATGATGATGCGGATGCCATGATGACCGTTAAACAATCCCATAATACTGTTGCTTGAATTTGATTCAAATCTAAATGTAAAAAATAAATACGTAAATACACTGAAATTTTTCTGATAATACTTACGAAATTCTTTTGGTGTTGCACTACTGGAAAATATACAAGTCAAAAAATGTAAACGAACTTCTACTTCAGTTTGAATTGAAACCGGTATGCTAAAAAGATATATAAAATTTTATTTTATTTTTCTTAAACTTTGAACACAATTAAAATTCATACCCATTTGCCGGTGATTGTTGTTGTTCACGTATTTTTCTTGCCAATTGTTGTAAATCATTAAAAAAGGCATTTAGAATATGATATTTATCGTTGAATAGAGTAAAAACACTTTGACTCGGACGATTATGCTGTTGTTGTAAGAACGAAAATAATTTTGGTAATAAACGCAATGAGACTAAACTGGAACTAAAAGAAAAAACGGAAAAAAAGGCACATTTAATCAAACGATTGATGTTATATAACCAGAATTTTAGATTTTTTTCGATCAGAGTGGAGAAATTTTGATTTTGATAAAGGGAACAAAAATCTGAGAGTGGAAAAATTACAATTTCATTTATTCTATTCACTAACCTGCTTTTTTTTAAGTTTTCTAAACTGGCTATAATGAAATGTAAAACAATTCGTTTATCTTCACATGATATTAACAAATGTCCAAACAAACGTTCGGCTTCTTGAAGTAATGGATCTTGTAAACGTAATGCTTTATCTTGTTCTAACAACAAATCCCATAAGAGTGTTTGTCCTGGTTTTGATAATTGACTCAAAATAATTTCTTCTTCATTTCGACTACTGTCTGCATCACTATTTGTCGATGTAGATGAAATACTTGATGAACCACCGGACGATGATTGAGATGAATGACTAGTTTCACTTGTCTGACGTTTTTTGCGTTGTTGTGGTTGATGTTTTTTATTAACAATCATTGCAGTACCCTGTGGTTGAGAGACAGCCCCCGGTGTAATCATCGACTGCGTTTGAGTACTGCTTGGTTTGTCATCATTTTCACTTTGATCGTCAAAATCGGCCATGTTTTTAACTGAGCCTGTATCACTCAAAATATCCGAACCATTAGATGATCCATAATCTTCGTCATCATCACTATGACGAAGTCTAAAATAACAATCACCAGTCTAATAATATTTCGAATCAATCATCGGAGAGACTGTAGTTGCATTAAAGACTTAATAGTTGCATTGATAGTAATTCTTCAGCTGTATATACGTGCAGCACGCAGTTGTTGAACGTTTTTTACATACCTCTTTCTCTCGCTACCACCAACGTCTTGACAATCGTATATTTCCATTTCCATTTCTGATGGTAATGAACCAGCTTGTGAATTTGATTGACTTTCAGCGCTGTCCGGCGAATATTTCTATACAAATGGAACAGCAAACATTAGATAGTGAAAATATCATAAAATAGATCTTCTAGGGCATACTTTATCCAAAGGATTTTCTGTTTGTTGATTTTCTTCGAATTTCTTTTTGGTTTTTTGAATTTTTTCTCCATTACTTTCAATGTCTTCTGATTCTTCTTCTCCTTCAACATCATCATCTTCGTCAATTTCCATATTGACCAAAAATCCTGAAGTGCGCGTTAGAGAAGGAAGCTTTTTCGTCGGTGTTGACAAATCGTGTGGTTGAAACGCCTGAAATAAACAGAAATTCTGCTATTTGTTGATCATCGTGGGCACATAAACAAAAATTTTATTACTTACACTGAGCAGTGATCCTCCAAGCGTATTTTGTTCGTCGTCGTCATCTTCTTCATCATCATCACTTCGATTTGACTGCAAACAAAAAAATATACTCTAGTACCAAGATATTATTTCCAGTAAAAAGTCTTTTTATTTGATTCAAATCTGTACGAAAAAAAATATTACTCAAAGACAAATTCCAACCTTGAAAAGAGTATCAAATCCGTAATCCTATCCGACACACACATGTGATTTTTTTCAACCGATATTATTAGATTTATCTTACCATAACAACAGCAGGCGTTTCATTTTCATTTGTTGACGATTCACCCTCTTCTTCTTCTTCTTCTTCATCCTCTTGCTCAGATGAATTTGACGCATTCATTAGGCTATCTCTTGTTTCTAAACAAAGAAAACAGAGGCTTGAAAAAGTAATAGAATGGAAAACTAATATCATTCACTGAGGTTAAAACGGTTCATTGTAATATTCTAAGTAGTAAATTGAAATCAGGTCCTGGAAATTCGTTCAAACGATGAAGTATTCGCTCTGTAACAGAGACCCTTTTTTTATTCTCAATGCAAGCTTTAACTTATGATTAATTACCTAGATTGTATGTCCTTGTATCATAATCTTCGTTTAAATCCTCTTCTTCTTCATCTGACCAGTCATCTTCGCCAGCCGTTGTTTCTTCTAATCGTTGAGCTAATAAAGTGGCCATAGTTGCTTGTGGCTCTTGTAATGCTAATAATTTATTAATTTTTTTATTAGTTAACGATTGTAATGGTGGTTTTAAAATATCTGGTTGTAATTGTCGTCTCTGTTGCTGTTGTTGACTAACTAAACATTTTTCTAATTTT